TGCATTCGATGACAATAGGGTCATCATGAGGCCGCCTGACCATTCCCCTATCCTTCTCAGAGATGAAGACCTCAGGGAAGGTGTCTTTCGACGCCTGGCCCTCATCCTCTGGGTTGGACAATTTTCGGATGTTATCCTTGGTACCCCGGATGGTAGGACCTCTGCTTGCGAAGCCGCCTGCTATAGTGAAGATGTGCTCTTCATCAGTTTCAGAACTAGCAGCCGGTTTCTTGGACGGTTGTCCACCGCCTGATTTTAGGTTGCCCTTGGACTTCACCAGATAAGACTTTAGAGTCCCCTCGTCAGCGAGACGGTCCAACAGCCGCCTGAGGCTATAACAACCATTGGTGTCATGGCCAACATCCTCATGGAACTGGCAGTACTTGCTTTTGTCCCTGTTCTTGAAAGAGCTTTTCATTGCAGTCGGTTTCTCAATTGTCAACCGGTCCTTTATCTCCATGAGGATGGAGGAGCAGTCTTTGTTGAACTCGTACTTGGGGACGTACGGTTCCAACTTCCTTTGCTTCTTTTGGGACGGCTGACCAGTGGGATGTGCCGCCTAGACCTCTTTTCTTTTCTTTTCTTCCTTTTTGGCCGGCTGGGTAGGCCGGCTGTCTCTCCTGTCGGACCGCTTGGGTTCCAACGGGTGCTTGATAGCGCAGATTTCAGTTGCCTGTATATAGACTTCAGCCTCCATAAGAGCCGCCTGGAGGGTAGCTACCCTCTTACGGACTAGGTCAAATTTGAAAGTTGATCCATCCTTCAGACCTTTAAAGAAGTCTATATACGCAACTTTGTCAGACAGCCCCTGAATATGAATTCTCATAGATTGAACCGCCTGAAATAGGACCGAAGTCCCTCCTTGTCACCCTGCTGAATAGCCCCTAGGTCGAGACTTGTCTTTTTGGCAGGGATGTTCATTGAGAAGTTAGACGCAAACATGTGTGCAAGCGTCTTGAAGTTATTGATGCACCCAGCCGGCAAATTGCCAAACCATCGTTGGGCTATGCCCTTCAATGTAGCCGGGAAGCATCTACACCAGGCGGCGTCATCCAACCCCTGTAAGTACATGAGGTTAGTGTATGCCATTAGGTGGTCTTCCGGGTTGGTGGTACCGTCGTAGGCACCAACCAACACGTTTTTAACCTTGGCCGGCTGTGCCGCCTCGGTTATTTCCTGGGAGAAAGCCCAAGGCTGTTCCCCAAGGTTTAGCAGCCGGAGCTGCTAGTCCATAGGCTGGACTTGATATGTCGCCTGACCCCCAAATGAAACCGATTGCATGAATGGAGATCCATACGGGGCGTATTGCTGTTGGGGCACATACGGAGCCTGCTGGATCACGTGAGGGCCAATACGCGCGAACACACCGCGTGACTGACTCCCTTGCTGCATCTCCGAATGCTTCATTGAAGCATTTTGGAAACTGTCTGGGTAGGTCGACGTCGACGCCGATTGAGACATGCTCTGACTTCTCTTCTCCTGGATGAACATCCGGGCGTCAGAGAAAGTCTTCTTGGACCCATCCGGCTGTGTATGCCGGATGGCTTTCCGCTGCCCTGCTTCAAGGAAACGAAGTTTTGAAAGGTCGATCAGGGGCCCATCCGTCCCCTTGGGCTTGGGGTGAGGAGTAAGCACCCGGTCTTTGATTTGCTTCTTCCCATAAGCCTTCTTTGCTGACTGACCCTTGCTGAGGCCATTTGACTTCTTGATTATGTCTTTTATCTCCCCCTTGAAACTCGTCATGAATTTCATGAACTCGTCTCTGGTGATGGGGGCGGCACCCTCCGCCGCCTGGGGTTATCAGCAGGCTTGCCGCTTGGGTTGCTGGGACCAGCTTTGTCTTAGCCCCGTTCCCTTGTTTCCTTGGAACGGGTGCGCCTGGATCGAAGTGACCCGTCTGGGGCCATATAGGTTTCGACTCCGTAGTCGTCACCACTGCCACTTTCGTGGTCCGTATGGACCTCAAGGTCAGCCGGAGGTCGGCTGCCCTCTGCATTCGGTACAGTATCGGATGCCATCTCAGTAGTACTCTCCCAACAGACGGCGCCAAATGTTTCGGGTGTTTTTGGAGTCCCTCGAGAGATTTACAATACTGAGTATGCGTGCCTGACTTCTGTACCTGCAAAACCACGAAACTCCGGTTGGGTGGAGTTCCGCCTCCGAAAATCAAGTTAGTATGATTCTGGATGAGTAAACGTGCAAAAAGTAGATGGGTATTTCTCTCTAATTCAGGGAGATTCCGCAATTAATATTGCTCAGAATTTGTGTGTGTATTTATGAATAAGCAATTAATGAGGATGATTCCTCTATTTATAGCAGATGAGAATCTGCTCCCCCATTGGGGGTTCAATGCCACGTGGCATCCTCTAATTGGATCCCTTTGGGCTTGTATGAGGGTGACACGTGTCAGGCCCTCATCGGGCCACGTGGCAAGGGTAATTTTTACCCCAAACAATTATAGTATCAAAAGAGAATTTAGTCTACTTACAAGTTCATAGAAAGTTTTTGGTATGAAATTTTTATAATAACCTTCGTGTATTAGTAATTTAGTATACTAGCACTTCCTCTTTTTTTTTCAAAAAAAAATAAAATTATTTCTATTTTGTTTGTATTGGTGTAAAAGACTTAAGGTTGAAGACTTGTGTAAGATAGGTCACATGTTCAAATCCCTCGCCCATTCATATAAAAAAATTATTAAATAAATATCCCTCCAACCCACATTGATCTTTTTACTTTTTTCTGGGCATTTTAAAAGGATCTTCCTACTTTGAATCTTTCCTTTTATAGCAGATTTTTCCATGAATTTCCGTTATTGTTAAATTGAAATATCAAACCTATCTTACTTTATTTTTGGGTTGTTCAGATTCATTAATGCGTTTCAACACCGCCTAAATTTTCTCAATTCATCAGTCACTTATGTCAACACATGCTTTTTCTCTTTTTAAAATCATCTCACTTTTTCTTTCTTCATCTTCTTCCTCTGTAAGAACCCTAATTTTCTCTCTCTTCATATCTACGGCATGGTGGTGTTTCAAGCTTTATTTTTAATTTTTCGCACCACCAACACCTTCTCTGCCCTAACTAAATTTTGAAGGATTCATACTTTCTCTCTCCTAAAATTCTTGATCTTTAGTGGTTGATTCTAGGTTTTGTTGATGTTTGTCGTAACCCTCTTCAAAGCCTTAATTCAATTTGTTGATAATATCACTTTCTCCCTTTTCAATTGTTTTCTCCCTCTTCCAGAATTGTAGATCTATGTTATTCGAGGTCCACGATCCGTTGATTGTCTTGGATTTGGCTTTTGATGGCAAATCGATTATTTCTTCATTTCCTCACTTCTCTTTCTTCTCATCATTAAGTTCTCTCATTATCTAGATTGTTCTTTTTTATTACACCATGAATTGTTGGACTTTTGATGAATAAGTTGTGAATCACATCTACTTTAGACACCATTGTGTGCTCATATCCAAAATGTGACAAACGTTATTTGTGTGACGATAATCATTCTTAAAGTATGGAGGTTTACAGAAGAAAATGGAGAGTATATTATGGTTTCGTATCCACTTATCCAACTGTTGAGGGTGTTCGGAAATTTAAAACCCTAATTGATTTTCTTATATGGAAATGAAATGGTTCTCCCTTTGGTTAATAACTAACACATGCTTAGCACATATTACTTTTCCAGTAACATAACAAAAAAAGGACAAAAAATAAAAAGACCACATACCTTAGTCTTCGCCACCTAAACAAAATCAGTTTCCCTAATAAATGCTTCTAAGCTGAATCTATTGGTGATCAAAGGACGGGTCGGGGTGAGGGTAAAAAAATTCAACCCACTTGGTGAAGTTGGGTGAAATTGCTTGCTCAAAACCCATAAATTGGATCAGGCCTAGCAGGTTTTCGAGTTTTTTTGGACCGGGCACTAAAAATAATTTAAAAGTTAAGAAATGCATGTCATGACCCAGAGCAATTTTTTTTTCTTTTTTTTTTTCAAAAAAAAAAACAACCGGCAAAAATTTGTTGCCCAAAGATTGCCCAATTCGGGTTTGGGAGGATCGAACGGAACCATCGGGCTTCTGCCTAACATGATCAGCTTTAAATGAATCTTCTTTTTCTTAATTTACGTAAATGATTCCAAATTGGAAGATCATTGAGGAACAGAGGGATTTATTTTACTTTAGATTCTAAATGTACCAAACAAAAATGGACGAATAGAGTAAAACTAATAACAATGTGATTCTTGCTCGAAAATGTAAACAATGCAGCTTAAGTTATTTGGCTTATACATACTAGCATCATATTCAAAAAAGGAAAAGTGTATGTGGTGACAAATAGAGTAAGTGTACGTGGTGACCTAGTCTATCAATCTATCATTGGCTTAAGGCCGCCATTATGTATTCTAATGTAATTGACAATTGATGCATATGATTCCAAACGACATTATATGACTTTTAGCATTCAACCTCACCATTACTTGACCTCTCAACACCGTGTCCTGAAATCTCCTAAAATTGTACAATTTTGTGTAATAATTATGCCTTCAATTTTGGAGAAATTTCAAACACCTCAACAGAGTCAACACCATCACTTGATTTTCAACACCGGATCGTAGAATCTCCAGAAATAATTTGATTTCAAATTTTCAAAGGAAAAGAGTCAAGGTTCCATGGACTCTATTCACTCTATGAGACCACGGGAGGCCGCAAGGATGGTTGGAAATGTACACTTTGCCTTTCAATTGTTAATGTGTAAATTATCACGTCTCCAACCATTGACTCAAGGCAAAAATGATTTGGGGTTTTGAGTATGATAATATATTGTATGAGCCAAAAAACACTTTGCCAATTTTTTTTTTTAACAAACTGTTAAAAAAGGCAAAGTGTTATTTGTTAAAAAAGGCAAAGTGTTATTTGGCATACAATCCAGCGTACTCAAAAGGCCGATACAAGTGTATGAAAAAGTGAGAAAAGCCACAAACAAAGACAGTACGAAGCGTATCATAGCTGTATCAGGGATTTTAATTGCTTCATTGCCTCTACTACGACTTCAAGTACAATGAATGAAACAATAAGATTCACACCAGAAACAGATTAACAGAGACTGAAGTCGCAGGGAAAAAATCGTTATATGCTGAAAAGTTGAACCACAATGAAATCAAAGAAACACATCACTGTTTACTACTGAAACACAACTGCTTAACGCACACTACTACTTACCAATGAGCCCATTGGTATTCCCGAATATTCATCACCCTAGTTACTTGTAATACTCAATCCTATTGTTCATTATTTTTTAACAAACTCTTAATACTCATCATCACCATCATCCTCCTCATCGTCAACACCTTCAGCCCCAACTTCTTCATAATCCTTCTCCAATGCTGCCAAATCTTCTCTTGCCTCTGAAAACTCTCCTTCCTCCATTCCCTCACCAACATACCAATGAACAAAAGCTCGCTTGGCATACATAAGGTCGAATTTGTGATCAATTCTTGAGAACACTTCAGCAACACTGGTTGAGTTAGAAATCATACTCACTGCCCTCTGAACCTTGGCCAAGTCTCCTCCTGGCACCACAGTTGGAGGCTGGTAGTTAATACCGCACTTGAATCCGGTAGGACACCAGTCCACAAACTGAATGGTTCTCTTTGTTTTGATTGTGGAAACAGCGGCATTCACATCCTTGGGGACCACATCTCCTCGGTACATCAAACAGCAAGCCATGTACTTTCCATGGCGGGGATCACATTTTGCCATCATAGCACTGGGCTCAAATGCACTGTTAGTGATCTCTGCAACTGACAGTTGCTCATGGAAGGCTTTCTCAGCAGATATAACAGGAGCATAAGAAGAAAGCATGAAATGAATACGAGGGTAAGGGACCAAGTTTGTCTGAAACTCAGTGACATCCACATTCAATGCACCATCAAACCGAAGTGAAGTTGTCAAGGAAGAGATAACCTACACAAAACACTATCATTTCAGCCAAAAAAATCTCACAATTATTAGTATCTTTAATGTTCAAATGTAAGTAAATTATATACCTGAGAAACAAGTCTGTTGAGATTGGTATAACTAGGCCTCTCAATATCAAGTGACTTGCGGCAGATATCATATATAGCCTCGTTATCAAGGAGAATGGAAACATCAGTGTGCTCCAGAAGGGAGTGAGTGGACAAGACACTGTTGTATGGTTCAACAACAGAGGTTGAAACTTGAGGAGATGGATAAATTGTGAAGCCTAATTTTGATTTTTTCCCATAATCAACTGATAACCTCTCCAAGAGTAGAGAACCAAGACCGGAACCAGTCCCACCACCAACAGCATGGAAAACAAGAAAGCCTTGAAGACCAGTACAGTTGTCAGCTAGCTTCCTGATGCGATCCAAGCACAAGTCGACAATCTCTTTCCCAACTGCATTCAAACAAAAAAGTTTCCATTCAATATAAGATAATTGAAATAAAAGAAAAAGCCGTCATTAAAGGGTTTGCTATATTAAAAAATTGCTTTTTCAAAGGTGTCACGAATGTATGATGTATAGGCGAAGAAAATATTTATAGCAATCATGGTAATGAATTACATCAAACCATTAAAGTAAATGTAAAAACTACAGACTTTAAAGAGAAATGCCGATAGAAAGAATGAAAGGAACCTGCATGATACAATGTTTTTACCCCCAATATCGTTCATCAAAAAATAGCATTAAAGTATTGATGAAGAGAGTTTACATAAAAAATACAACACATATTTCCATATTCTCATAATCATAGACAACATTTCAAATAATGAAACTAACAAAGCGAAGTTGTGCAGTGGTTTAACACAATTGGGTGGTGAAAAGAGAAGAATATCTAAATTGAAGACAGGAATTTCATAAACCTGTTAGACAACGACTCACACAAACCAATCATCTCCTAGAGAGCACCATCAAACAATAAGTGGAAAACCAAACCAAAACAATATCAAACAGTATACAAAAACTAATAGAACTCAGGACTTCAAGGGCGGCAAGAATGCAAAACTGATGCAGAGCACTTGTTCTACTAAATAGCTCAAGCAAAATCCTCAAAATATAGGCCTCCAAAAACCAACCGTAGCTAACAAAATTGATCCAAATTCAGATAAAAAAAAACATAATAGAAGAAAATTCCAGCATAAAACCATAATAGAAAACTAATGCCAATTTTGCCAAACAGAAAATCAAAGTAAACAGAAAAGAGAAAACAAACGCAACGCTCATGATATGTTCATCAAATCCCTCAACCCAAGCCCCCACGACAAAGCAAAGCAAGTAACCCAAACCTAGATCAAACCAACAACAAACTAAACAACAAAACCAATAATGAACTAAAGCAGAGGAAACAAAAGAGCTCAACATAAATTGCACACAAACTGTTTGACAAAATGCCTCAATAAATCCCTAATACACAGACCTTCAATCAACACACCAATCATTCCATAACCAACAGCAAAAACAAAGAGCAATCAATTATCAATCCATAACCAAGATCATTATAATAGCAAAAATTCAATACCAGTATAATGTCCACGAGCAAAGTTATTAGCAGCATCTTCTTTGCCACTAATAAGCTGCTGTGGGTGGAAAAGTTGACGATACGCCCCGGTTCGAATCTCATCGATAACAGTTGGTTCAAGATCAACAAATATCGCTCGAGGAACATACTTTCCAGCCCCAGTATCACTGAAGAAAGTATTGAAGGCATCATCTCCTCCTGCTCCTGTATTCTCGGCTGGCATTTGCCCATCCGGCTGTTACATCATATAAACAAAATTAGGGTTTATTTCAGAAATTTTCACACCATATAAACAAAATTTGGGTCCAAATCTCAGAAATTCTTACAACAACCAAAATTAGGGTTCATTTCTCAGATTTCGTTACAACTTATAAATCAAATTCAGGTTCAAATCAAAGAAAATCTTACTACATTTAAACCAAATTTTAGTTCAAATCTCAGAATTTCTTACACCATATGAACAGATTTAGGGTTCATTTCTCGAATTTCTCACTTCAAATAAACAAAACTAAGGTTCATTTCTCAGAAAATCTGACAACATATAAACAAAATAAGGGCTCATTTCTCTAAAACAAAACAAATTAAGGGTTTATTCAGTTCATGAAAAAATGAAATTAAAAAAAAAAAATAGGATTTACCTGAATGCCATGTTCAAGACAGTAGAGTTCCCAGCAATTGTTACCAACTTGAATTCCAGCTTGACCAATGTGGATCGAAATACACTCTCTCATTTTCGATTTTCTGGAGATTCAAATTTAGGAGAGAGAAAAATATCAGAGAAAAAGGAGGAGAGAGAAAATGAGGTAGGGTTTTTTTTATTTTTTATTTTGGGGAGTGAAAATTGTGAGTTTTATACTTTTATGGTAAAGAATTGTAGCCGTTGGCGTTACAAAAAAAAAAAAAAAAGAAAAAACAGTTCGAAAAAATGGGGATTTGGCAATTTTGGGGCGGTGGAAATTATGTTTTTTGAATTTTAAAAATTTGAATTGGGACCGTTATGCTTTATTGTTATTGGGTTGTGTGTTTTGGAGTTGTGTTTTATGGTAATGGCCCAATTTGGAAAAGCGTGTTGTGTTTTATGGGCTTAAAAAGGTGAATTTTAAGGTCAATTTAGCCATTTAAGAAAAAAAAAAAGTGGTGCACTTTTGTAAGGACTAAGGAGCCCAAGATATTATTGGGTTGTGTGTTTAAGAGTGGAGTAGAAAATCATTCTTGGAATAGAGTGGAGTGGAAGTGTATCCAAGTGTATAATACGAAGTAGATTCTATATGCACTTCCACCTCGTAATCTTGTATCCCTGAGGTTAAGGGATCAAATTTCATGGGCTCATTTGAGGAGCTTCTTCTTACCATTAAAAAAAAAATAAAAAAAATCTATGTATGAGATACGCTTTTTTTTTTTCTTTTAATTTACGTTAGTACTTTAAAATGAGAGAAATGAAAATGTATAAGATTATAATTAGTGGAAAAAAGAAGAGAGAAAAAGACAAAATTACAAACTAGTCCATGTGATTATAAGCATCAACTAAAATAATAAATATTAACACGTAATATTGGGCATTTGTAATGAGAAATGAGATATTTGTTTTCATAGATGATAGGTATTTTTTTTTTTTTTTTTTTTCAATTTGTAATATTAAAGTAAGAAAGGGAGTATTTCCTTTGTTTCAAAAATATTGCTAGCTTTGTCTATGTAGGAAGTTTTACAAAAATTTCAACAAGGAAATCTAATATTCCATTTTCCATTTTGTAAATACTACAATAATATAATACGAAGTATGTATTTTCCTTTCTCATTTGTTTTTTGTCGGTATTTCACATAGATTTTGTGATCCTCTCTCACCTTTTATCCACTTCTTAATCATGTGTTTCTTCCCATGTTGAGATATTTTTGAAACGCAGGACGTACAAAAACTAAGTGGAACTATAATTTTCTCTCCATTGGCTTCTAATGCTAAGGAAGTAAGGAGACATATACACATATTTACAATATAGTTGAGCAAATACAGTTTATTAACACAAGAGGCTAACAGAATGAAATAAGAAAAATAATATCAAGTGTTCTTGTATAGATTGATTAAATATATAGCTATTGATGCTTAAGATTATCATTTCTAGAGTTAATTATTTGTAGATGTCGTATAAATATTTCCATTATTGATCGCGTAAATTCTGCTAGCGTTGTCAAGGACGAGTTACAATGGTGAACAATATAGACTAACAGCCAAGAAGAAGTGGGCGAAGAAGGCAGAGCTTGAGGCGAGCTCGAATGTTATTCATAATTGCCCGTTAGTTGCCTTCTTAGTTTGTTTGTATTACAATTGTATTTAGGCAAAAGCCCAAACTAACTATCAAGGTCCATTAATCAAAATTATACACCTTGTTAGAGGAAGGTCTACTTCTAATAAAGACTGGTCCATATTTGGCTCAAAGCCCTACAAATTCTAGTCCAACCCAATCACTTGACCTGAAATCATGGCCCATTCTGGCTCGAGTTGGCCCGACCCTTTGATATGCAACACGAGTATATCTCAAAGATAATACTATCTTCTTTTCCTATCATTTGCAACAAAAGGATACTATGTGTGAAACATAAAAAATCCCTTTATTGCAAATAATAAGAAACAAAGAGTATATAGATTGATAATTAAGCGCGAGCTCATTTGCTATCTTTATATAGAGTATTAAAATATTAAAATTCTCATTTGATAATATTTGAATCCCACACCTTCAAATTTTAATTTGAGGCTAGAACAAACTTCACCAATTGAGTTGATTAAGTCTTACTTGGTAATGATCTCACACCGTAGTAAAAAGGTTTGGAATGCATGCAGCCATGCATGATGCATCCAATAATTATCAAAATATAATGCCTCTTTGAAATGTCAATTCTCACATTGTCTCTTACAAAAATATACATATATACTTGATACTTGAGCATATATAAAATTCATGTATAGCACTATATATACATTATTATCATTTATGCGTTATCAAATAGGATTTGTTGTATTCACCTGATTTTCACTTATCTAAACTTGAATTTCTTAGATCTTATTAAAACTTATTTTAACTTGAATTTGAAATTGAATAACCCTTGTCAGAACTACTTATTTTTCATAACATATCATAATTGTACTTATGAGACATGAATTAATTTAAGTTAAAGTAAGATGAACATAATAAGGCCTAAATAAAAAGTATTTCACGTCGTATAAATTATAAGTTTAATTTTTTTTTTAAATGGAATCGTCTAATAATAACTCGGTGAGTATGAGCAAAACACGGGCCATTAATCTAGTCTTTATTCCGTATGTATACAGTAAGCTATAATTAGATCGTAGTAGCTAAATTAAATAAGTATGCAATATCAAACAAAGTACTTTAGCCAAAACAGCAAATGGCGTATCAACATCACTGGCATTTAGCTCGTGGATGAAGATCAGATTCATACACTTTGGATTTTACTTGTTAGATGAATATACATTATTCTTCTTAGTTGATGATCTGTATTGAACAAATTAATAGAATCATCTGTAATCTGTTAATAATCTGGCCAAATAAAACATGCATGCATGTTTGTATTACTTAATTGTCAAACTTTTCTGGCTATACTTGAATAATTATATATTTTTAGCTTTTACAGCTTTATTTGCTAATAATCTTCTTGTTTTCACGTGTTTTTTCAATAGAATTCAACAAGCTAAGCACAAATTGTTCGGAACCTACAATTTCTTTTAGCTTTTTGACATCATGATGATAATGAATTTAACTAGCTTAATTAGCTCTTACATATGTTCATTATTACTACAATAAAGTTACATGTTTAAGTTGTTTTTTCTTACAATAATATACACTTAAACATATTAAGTCAACTAGAAAAGAAGCAAAAAGCATCATTTTATGAGATAAGATTCATATCTTTATTAGGCCTTTGATTTAGGTGGATGATAGACTTGCAAAAGCTAATTGTCTCAATGATACACTTGTACTTCGTACATAGTATGTATGTTACACATGATTGTTATAGAGCATAGTCATTGGTTGCCTTAAGATCTATATATATTTAATAATCAATATATTAAAAATGTCATCTAGCTCTTTACTCTACCTCAAATTCATGCCAAACAAGGCACCTATGATTAAGATGTCTCAATAATTGTTTAAAATCAATTTGGTCATTTTGTCAAAAAATATAAACTACCAAGCCATAATATAAGTTCAAATGTTATAGTTAGGTTGGTAGTTACAAAGAATATATTTAAGGGACACATGTAAGAATTTATATTTGATGCACATTCCCACTCTAATGTATAGATAATGGTCAATTAACCTAAATTCCACTTATCTTATCAGTCATGAACTTATTATCTTATCCGAATTAATTAGCTCTTAGCCTTATTGGCCCTTATATATAAGGTGTTATAGACCTTATTAAATTAGAACCTATTAACCTTTATCTTATTCTATTTTATCTAAACTTATCAATTCAACCCTTATGTTATACTATTTGATGAACTAAATTAATTAGCCCTTATCTTATCTAATCTGAACTTATCAAATCTGAAATAATAAGTGAAAATAAGATGAATAGAGTGTAATTAAAGCATCATTATCGACCTTGCATGGGAAGAAAATTGAAAATACACCTTGAAATTGCACCCACTTAATTAGATACTAGCTTAGCTAGCTAGATACATCCAGATCAATAATAATAAAAAAAAAATAATAACAATAAAAAAAATCTCCAAAAAGACTTCTTCTTAAATTAATCCTTATGAATACAAATGAAATAAAATATTGATTACACCGTTAATATGTGATTTTGTCATACATTTCTAGATTAATACTCTAACAAACTCTAAAGATAGGTGTATGTTCGAGTTACATATTGCCTCCGTTTCATATTATGTTCAACAAATGAGCTTGCACGGACTCTTAGGCAAAATTTATTTATGAGTATTGATGAATATAATGATACATGTGATGAAGTGAGAAAGATATAAAAAAAAATGACAACTTAAAAAGGAAAGAAAACATTTGTTGCATGCATATAATGTGTAACAACTATTTTTTATAAATGTTGTACAAATATGAAATGGATGGAGGTAATATATATACTCCCTCCTTATTTTATTACTTGCTCTATTTCTCTAGACATGGAGTTTTAGGAGGAATAGTAGAAAACATTGTTTTATAATGGAAGTGGGGTTGGTTGAAAAACAAAAAAAATATGATAAAACAAACGTGAGTATAAGGAGGAGAAAGAATAAGAAAATATTAAATTACGATATGAGGGGATCACTAGTGGGTAGGAAATTAGTAATATATTGTTAAAAATGTTCTAAAAACGAAATGGAGCAAATAATAAAATACGGCCGCAAAATAAAAGTGGAGCAAGTAATAAAATGCGAAGGGTGTATATATCATTACCTTTTTATAAAGAAATAACCCAAAAGTATAAAAAATAAAATAAAATTACACCTATCAAATATACAAGCTAGTATCAACAAAACGCAAAAGTTACGTTACTGATCTCACACTCATAATTCATGTTTGCTAACAAAGTTTATAGCTTTTGGACTTACATCATATATTAATCCTAGTTGATTTACTAACATAAAGAATTAAAGATAGATGCCTAAAAAGGATAGTGGGGTGGTGGAGAATTAGTATATTCTGTGTGAATTTGGTTGCGTTTGCAAATTGCTCCATAAAGCTCAAACTTAAGGGTGGCGTGTTACAAAGATCCGAGGCCATGAATGTTTCCACGTCTGAGTTATTTGCTTGATTATACATTATACTATATACTATGCGATTATATTATATTATACAACAT